ACAACAGTTTAAAATATGTACCTACAACCTACAAGACATTTCTTTAACTAAAGAAATATACATATATAAATATTATATCTTTGAGAACTTTATAACACACATATTTTTCATTCTAAAAAGTACTTATTAAATAAATGCTATCATCTTTTCTGATATCTACCTTATGGTGATTTTCTAAGCATGTGGCACAAGGTCAACAGTATGAGGCACCCAGTGAGGTCAAACTCACTACTCAGTTGTAATTGTTCCAGCGAGACAAGCTTGCTAACCATTACACTATGTCAAGGTGCCCTGAAATTTGCCTTATGATTGTAGTAATGGTTCTCCAATGCCTTTTCATTATAATATGGTGATCTGTATAGTTAAGCAAACAATGTTTATTATTTGAATTCAGTTACTATAGGTATTAATTTTTATTGTTTTTGCTATTGCAGTATATTATTTTAATTCCCTTAGCAATAAATAAGAGAATTGTACATCAAACTAGTTTATAAAATTATGTGTAGTAATGGATTGAGTTGTCAGAATATGAAGATAACTATCTATGAACACAGAGATGATTAAAAGATTAAAAATATTTAGATAAATCCAAAAATAATATCGCAAAGAATTGATAGTCAATTGTTTATTAATTGCTACCAAATAACCTTATGAGAATTCATTGCTAAAGATGGAGGTAAAATGATTGGCTCCCTGTATTGCTCCAGTAAATAACTGACTCCTCATGCTATCCTCTACCTTTATAAGAGAGCCAGATCAGGTAAAAAATGTAGTACTATTGACATATTTGGGTGGGAGCTGCCAAGATCTCACTTTCCACTCTTGACAGTTTTCAAGAGCATCTCCAAGTCCTTGTTGGAGAAGAATTATTTTCCACCTTCCAACCTCTCTCTCACGGGCAGGATGTGGCAAGTCTCTCACTGCTCTAACCCAGGAAAGTGCTCAGAAGAACTACATTTCTTGGTTCTGCCAGGTCTAACCTTCACAGCTAAGAGCCACCATGCAAACCACCCACATTCCCTCCATATTCCATTGGCGAGAAGTAAGTTCCACTCAAACAGCTTCTTCTTGCACACCACTGCTCTGTGGAACAGACTCCCAAGAGGATGTTTCCATGATCACAACAATCTTAACCTGTTCAAGTCTAGAGTCAACCATTATCTTCCCCTCCTATCTATATAACTACCCTTTAACATAACCCTCTACCTTGAGTGGCCCCTAGGCCTTGTACAGGGTGAACTTTATTGTAAAAAGAAAAAAAAATTAGCTTAATGTTCTGTAATGCTTGCAATTATAATGTTGATGTATATTTTTGCAATGTATAAACAAAGATGTGTGGAAAAACACAAAATGTAAAATCAGCTATTTTAAGATTAACCAGACATATAAAGAAACATATAAACATAATAAACATATCACTTGAATTTAAAAGAAGCCAAAACTGATTGAAGATCAATGTTTTATTTTATGTTTATTCTGTGTAGAAATCTTGTGCCAAAAACTGCTGGCGTTTGTAAGAAAACTCTTTCAAAATAAAATGCCATTTATTACAAAACCTTCCTAAAAACATTCAGATGAAGTAAATCTAACAAATTAAATCTTTCTTTTTTTCTTTAAATAAAAATTGAAGGTATTAGTATCAATAAGTTAAAAAGAAAGCAATTTTTCAAAATTTAATATGCACCATTCTTTTAATTCAAGTGTAGATATGAATTTTGTTTGGTAGATATTGTTTTCATTAAAAAGGAAATAAAATCATTTACTTCAGCATTAAGAAATAAAACCCTTCATACTTTAGAATAAATCTGGCTTAACTACTGACAAAAAGTAAGATAAAGTATTACATTGTATTTCTGCCAAAGAGTTATGCTTCTTTGTTGCAATCTTAATATGTATTATTTGAAACACTTACAAAAATTGTTTCTTGTGTTTGTTCTTTCATTTCAGATATGATATTAAATAAATTATGTGAGAAACAAGTTCAGAGAACTGAAAACTAGTGGTATCACAAGCAAGATAAAATTGGTATAAGGAGTTTAAAATCTTTTGGTAAGTAATTGAAATTCAAACAAGTAAAAGCTATTTGCAGCTTTGAATTCTATTACAGTATCTTTTAATGCTGTATGATGAAGAGCCAAAACAAAAATGACCAGCAACATGTAACAAGAACAACAGTTAGTGTCTCATAACAACTTTACATGTCAGAATCAGAGGTATACAAGAGGTGTTGAAAAGTTCTTGGCCCAGCTCACTTCCCAAAATCTGACCAAATAATTAAACATTAAAAAATTTTCTTCTTTGTCAGGCTGAGAACTATTCAGTATCTTTTCATATAAACAGGTAAACCAGTTTCAAATTTTTCATTTTGATGTGTTGAAAGCAGTATTTATGAGCAATAACAAAGATTTGAATGACTTTGATAAAAGCCAAATTGTTACTGCTAGAAGTCTATCAGAACATTTTCGAAATGGCAATGCTTGTTGGGTGCTCATGTGCAAATGAGATCTGAGAAGAGAAAAATCACCAATTAACACCAAGGTAGTGGGCAACCAAGAATTATTGATGTAGGGAAAGAACAAAGGCTTTCTTAACAAGTATGAGCCAACAGAAGTACTACTGTGGAATAAATTGCAGATAGCTTTAATCATGGTACAGTAAAGAATGCATCACAGCAAATCATTCATCAATTCTTCTTGTAAATAAGGCTGCAGATCAGCCAGAGTAAACCATGTTAATCACTAAAAATGACCTCAGTGGTATATGAGCATTGGAACCAAGCATAATAATGAAATAAGGCTGATGAGTTTCACTTTTTCCTCAATAAGGTGAACATCATTCTATATGTGTGCTGTTATGCTGGTGAAACAATACCACAATAATAAACATTAGGAAAACAATAAACCATTGAATGCAGTAATAGAGTTTAGTCGGCATTCTTCTGAAAAACATTATCATTCATGTAGAAGATACTTTATCACATATCATCTTTCTCAACATTACTGAAGACCAGGTATGCCACTTTATGGTAACAGTCTTCTACATTGGCATCTTTCAGCAGAACAATGCATCTTGTCACACTGCATGAATTGTACAGGAATAGTTTCAGGAACATGAAAACTTTACCAAAAACACCAGATTTCAGTCCCATTGAGTAATTAAAGAATGTGTTGAACAAACAAGTTCACTCTGTAAAACCACTTTACTTGCAAAAGTTAAAGAACCTACTGTTAACATCCTGATACCAGATCATGGAAGAAATCTTGTGGACTTTTAAAGTCCTTAGCTGTTTTGCAGGCATATGCAGCAACCACACTTTAATTGGCAAATGGTCATGATTTTTGCCTCATCAGAATATATCTCCATCAGGAAATTACACCACCAATATCCAAAAATGGATTCTTTTTTTAAAACTTAGTAATTATAAATAAGACTTATAAACAGAACACTTTGAGTTTTGTTTTGTTTTACAGAAGCTATCTTTTTTAACAATGTTTTGTTTTTTAAGCAAACAATATTAATGAAAATTATTATTAATCAACAAAGAATCAATTCCTTAACAGTAAAATAAGATATCCTTCAATGTTTAGCAAAGAATATTAATGTTCCACATAATATGTAACAGTTTTAATCTTGGTCGAGATTTACATGGCATCTGATATAAAGTTCCTTCCAGTTTTTTGCAATAAATCTAAAGCTGTTAACTAAATTTAAATTGAAGGACCTGTAATAGTTTCCAAATCTGTCCATACTATTTTCTCTCTTTCATAGCTTTGGTTTTTATATTTATGAATGACAAAATTATAAAATATTAAATTTTATCAAACAAAAAATATCAGGAAACTTCAATATGACTGAGAAGAAACTAAGTTCTCACTTATCTATTGCTGTCATTAATAATCTAAGTTCACCAAATTGGGAAAAAGTGGAATATCAACCCAAAAACCAAAGATTATTGTCCCAATAATTACTTTCATTAAAACTAAATAAAACTCTGAAAAGTATAAAAACATTTTTCTTTATGAACAGTCACTTAAAAATTGTAGCAGTATCTGTAAAATTTATCTTAAAAAAAGTAATTTAAATAGAAATTTCTAAGGAGTTAATGGATTTTATTTTTAATCAGACATTTTTTCTTATTATTTTAAATGTTATACTTTTGTAAATGCACCAAAATATAACAGTTAAAATAGTAAAAATAGTGTTGGATTAAAAATAAAATCCATTAATTTCTTAGAAATTATTTTGTGTACATTTCAGATAAAAAATGAAGTTAACACGTATGGACTTTCATGCAGGTATGAGCTTTCAAGGTGATCTGAACAATATGTGCATTCCTTAAAGGGTAATTGAACCTTTCTTGGTTGTGTAGCTCTCTCTGATCATACAGCAGTTTCCCCGACAAAAGGGACACAGGTTCAAACCTTGCCAGAGGGTACATTTTCTTTATTAAAGATAAAGTGATTAAGTAATTCACACTGTTTAAAAAGCAGGGATCTATCCATTAAAATATAATGTTTAAAGGAATAAGAAATATAAATTTATGTAACTTTATAGCTCTTAATGGATCAAGTATGTGTAATTGCAACTTACAAAGCATTGACTTTTCAATACTTAATACAATGTCACACAAGCATCCAAAGTAACTGTCACTTCTGTTAAATTTATGTCAACTAGACTACCATTTTTGACTACCATAATCCAATATTATACTTGTATGAAATTAATCATATGATAATCTTATCAACCTTTTGCAGTTATTTAAATCCAGAAAATATTTTTAGATTGTAAAACTTATCTTTTTTCTTTTTTTTTTGAGATAATAGTTTAGTGATACAAATCTTACTAATTAATCCATAACTAGAGAAAGAAAAGATGAATTCACACTTTTCTCAATGGTATTTGTGCATAAGTGAATATATTGAACCCAACAGGAATTGGATCTCAGCTCTCTGATTAACATTTCTAAGCCATTATCCATTACACCGCCCGTACATCCAACCTTACAGCACCCAGTGTTCCCAATCAGTCACCCGTCTAGGTACTGACCAAGCTTGACATTGCTTAACTTTGATGATCATACAGGAACTGGTGTTTCAACATGATGTGGATGTAAGCCAAATTAATCTCGTGTTTCAAAACACAGTTAAAACTACTGAAAGCAAATCAATCCAACTCCTGAACTGTGTTTTTTTAATATAAGTTTTTTCATTTAATTTTGCATTTGTTTCATCTAAGCAGTTGGCAAATGCAAACCAAATGAATGTAAGCTTTCCTAATTCAAATGATGTTTGTTGAAAACCAGCAAATTGTTAGACTATTGATACCTTGCTTATGTGCTGAATATTTCAGGAACTGTTGCTATGACATCAGCCAAGCACAATTAGATTCCTCCTGTATGGTAATAATGAAGTATTTTCTTGAAATCATTATTTAAAACTTTGCTACACAATATAGATAATCTGTTTAGAGTTTATATGAATAAAGATAAGATGGAAATGTGTAGTTTGCATATCCTTTGGGATAAAATTAGGGTGTAAGATAAAAGATTAAAAAAAGATAATAGTAACACAGAACTGGTCCAAAGCAGTCAATGCAGCTAATTATTGATTCTAGCTAAGCACAATAACCTCGCTGTGGAATGTACAATTTACATCCACCTCTTGTACATCTAAGTCTGGGTAACTAGAATCTACTCTCTTTCAGTTTGACCATCAAACTTTCTAGAATATATCAGCTAATGAGAAAGAATAATGGTTAATACTTAGAATTAACTATGTTGTAAAATTACGCTTTCAAAATCTTTCCCAACATTGATAATTCCCTTATTAATTTGAAAATGAAAGGAACTATTAAAGGTCTTGAATTTCAGTTGAAAATCTCAGTTTGTTTCTTTCTAAATTTGATTGTCATTTTCACAAATACATTGATTCAAATATTTCCATTACTAATATGGAGGAAAGTTATCAGGGCACACAATTGTTTTTCTTCCTGTTCAAAACTTGGTCTAAATCATTTTCAAAAGATTGTTTAAACATATTTTCTCTGAATCAAAATTTAATTTTTCTTTTGTACTAAATCAATATTAAAAAGCCATTAGCTAAATGAACTTTTATTTTAATTATTTATCTTGATGAATTAATCCATGATGTCACATTACCAAAAATATCTCAATTATTTATTTGCTTTATAAACCTATTAAGCACTAAAATAAATACTTTAATCAAGTAAAATATGTAAAAGTTGCAATATATGATGCATTTAAAATTGTCACTAATCTCTCTGATACTATTATTAATTATTCAGCTTAATTTGTATTTTAAAGATTCTTAAGTTGAGGTAGTTAAGAATAATTTATGAGAAACCAGTGAACAATATTGAGCTAGAGATCAAAGATTCTCTTTTTAAATAAATTCCATTTTCTGTATTTTCAAACACAGTTCAGCAAATTTGTTAATCTTTTAGTAATTTTTAAAAATGAAATTTGCATTTATAGGTAATAAAAATCTGTTTGTTAGCATAAATTTGTGATTCTCCTGATGAATAACGTTATGCAAAGAAATTGCTCTGAAGCCAATCATCTGACTTCCCTCTCTTATTGGCAGATAGTAAAATATTCATCAGCTCATTTTGTTAAATGATTTCACTTCCAAAACAAGTTTCCTAGTTATAGTTAACCGTGTTGTGTATATGATTGGTTCTGTGCAATTTTATTGAGGTTTTTATTGATGTTTTTAAAATTATACCAAATTTTTTTAACCTTGTGCATTTTAATTAAATATTACACTTCTTGCATGAACTTTATAAAAGTGATCTATTTTATCTATACAAAGAAATCATGTCTAGGCTAAATAGATTACTCTTAAGGTATAAAGTAATTTTTTTAAAAATGATTTAAATATATCACCTTAGTGTAAAGTTTTGTGTCACTTATTCTGTTTATGAACTTATAAAATGTAAAAAGAAAAATTACATGACAAGAAATTTTTTTCCAAATAGACTTGAAGAAGAATATTAATATGATACTTGTTCATCAATATTTAAATAAGTCACCCAACAAGCATCACTTTCTTGTGTTGAGAAAATATATAACAAACAAGATTGTTTATCAAATATTAACCTGGTTGCATGCTTTCTTGCTTTTGTTTAGTGGCATATCTACCTCTATGGGTTATTTAATACTGAAATCTAAATATTTTGTATGCAAACTTTTTTTTTTTAGATAATAATGATGTTAGTAATACAAATCTTACTAATTAACCCATAGCTGGGTGGGAGAAGAGGTGGATTCATACTATTCCTAAGGGTATTTGCATGTAAGTGAATATAATGAACCCAATTGGAATTAGTTGTCTGACTAATAATTCCGAGCCATTATCCATCACACCACCTGCACACACAAACTTACAGCACCTGGTATTACCAAGTAGTTATGCATCTAGGGACTGACCAGGCTCAACATTGCTTGTCTTTTGTAATTTTAGGGGAACCAATGTTTCAACGTGATTTGGCCATAAGCCTCAATATTAGCCTGGATACAATCTCTTAAGGTGTATTTTTGCTAGTAACCCTTCAGAATCCTAATGTTAACCTGAGAAATTATATGAACATGAGAACAAGAGAAATCATATCAAACTACTGCATATAAAGATTGGTTCAAAGAACACATTAAGTTGGATAATTAACTAATTATTATAATAATGATTAGGATAATAAAAATTCAGTGAACTCAACTATTTTTTTAAATTCCTGGTGGCATCAAGAATCAAAGAATTCTTTGTAATTCAATTGCCATTTGTTTTATTTTATTCACTTTCATTATGACCTTTTAGGTACAATGGGTTAAGTCAAGAGATGTTAGACTCATTTCAACTGCCAAGAATCTGGGTTTATTTTCATTCATTCCTTAATTGGCATCAGCAGTCTTGATGCTGTCAAAGGAACCTGCTTTAGACCAAAAAATTCAAGACTTCAGCATCATTATCTGTGAAAATAACCAAAAGTTAATCTCACTGATGCTTGCTTTTCTCAAACCTTGCAATCAAATCAATATGACACTTAAAGAGTTAACCCCTCTCCCCACAAATTCACATCTTGTTACATTACTTCCCAAGAAAAAGAAAATCCTATTATTTTGTTATTCCATATTATCGATTTCCTTTTCAGGATGGAGAAATATGTTTTAAATAATTGTAAAAACTGATCTGAAATCCTTTAAGATTGTCCTTAATATGTCATTATTATTATTATTATTATTGGCATTGAGGTTCAGAATTTTATCTCTGAATTAATTTAAATTAAACTTATCTTGATATTTATTTGAAGGCAAAAGTCTTTTGTCTACAATGTGATACAGGTTTCTTTTGGCATATGAAGCAGGGATGAAATAAGAGAAGTGTGGGTCAAAGTTCAATTTGAATTCCTAAGATAACAAATAATGGATGAGCTAAATCTACACAAGTCGTTTATAAAGAAAACAATGACCATGACAAAACACATCATCTTTGGAGAATTTATTTCAAATTTCCTTAATGTGTCCAAGACTAAATATTTAATAAAAACCATAGATAATTGTAACATTAATAGTTACATTACAAGTGATTCTTGAGGGAATTATTATTAAGTAAATTTTGATAAACGTTAGTAACGTAAATATGAAAATATCAAACTGAATATTACATTTTACATGGTCAATAACAATTTTTCAAAAAACAATTAATGCCAATTGCTCACACCAGAGATCAAACAAATTCTATTTAAAAAATACAAAGAAATAAAAAGGTATCAACTTTGAAGCAAATTTTCAGCGACAATAAGTTGTAGACCAGAGGAGTCTTCTGTTTCTTTCATAAAAACAATTACACTCACATTAATACAGATGTATTCTTTGACGTGGAACAAAAATATGCATAAAAAATTATATGCGACTATAAGAAAACACATAGCTTCATCACAGGCTAGAATGACATACAACACTGCCTTTACTATCCACAATAATTCCTTCTGATCAAAAGAAAAAAATTTTTCTTTTAACATGCTTTTGTCATTATCATACACATATATATTACGATTGGACCATAATTTCTCTTTAGTGGATAAAAAGCTATCGATTAACTAAAAAGACAACTTTAGAGTGTGTATATGCATGCAAATGAGTATGAGCCATATTGAACAAAATCATGTTCAATATAAAACATGCTTTTTACTTTGGGATATTCCTATATTTAAAAATGACTCATTCTTGCTAAAGATAATCTTACTAAATATGTACATAGTAATGTCTACCAACCTTACCACTGAGCAACACTTTTAAGAGTATGACACTTTTATAAGTTAAAGGGTTTAGAGAAAACAAAAAGAGAAACAAATATTGGTATGGTTATTTGTGAGTGCTTTTTATGATTTGTACAAATAAAGAAGGCCCAAAGCACTTGTCAAGAAAGTGCTATTTTGATCAAATTAAATCAACCCAATTAGTGGCTACTGTAAAATATGCTGCCAAAAAAGGTCCTAGATCTGCAGCAGTGGTATCTGTTTGATCTGGCATGAAGACAAAAAGTCCTAAAAAGTAACTAAAACTCTGGTTCCTTTCCTGATTGACATTTTGGAGTTAAACTTTCAGAAGATTGCCAAAAGACATGAAAAATATCTTTAAAAATTATTATTTAAAGAAAACCTATTTTAAGCTCACTCACTATCCAGTTTATTATCTTCTTTCCTTGATGTTTTTGAAGCCTGCTTCTCCAGGCAACTCTATCTAAAGCCATGTCTTCTTTCCATTTCAATTTCTTCCGGGCTTTGTTGAAACTTTCCCTCCAAGTTTTCTTTGGTGAACTATGCCAGTAAACTGCTTCAACCATGAATTGTTTTGTTGTACACATTCAAAATGTTGTAATCTTTGAGCAATCAGCAACTAGTTCAAAAGAGGAATGCCAAAATGTTTGTAAAATGACACCACACTAACTCTAAATAGGCTTGATATTGCATCTCCACTTGATTATAAAATAATCATTTTGTACCAGGTGTAACTTCTTTGGCATGTTTAGCCCAGGATTCACCAGAATAGGTCATGCCACAATGAACACAGGAGTTGTAAACATTGCCTCAAGTGC